TCTCCCGTTGCCTTAAGTTCAAATCATTCTCAAGATCCATCTCATCCTGAGAACCCTTTTTTTGAACTATTACCATCTGGCAGATAGTACAGGATAATAAAAACAAGGACAAATAGGCTGAAAAACAGCTTCTATCCCAGGGCAGTAGCTCTTTTGAATTCTGCTGTATAGTGCAGTGTTGGTGTGGGTGTCAGGGGTTTCCGGTTCAATGTGTGAAGGGTGAAGGATATGGGTTTGTGTTTATTTTCATGGTCATGGTCATGATGTACACTGAAGATGGTGTTTGATTTCGTTGTACGAGGTGCAGTGACAATAAAGTAAACTAAACAGAAAAGCCCTTTTGCAAAGTAAAAATGAGATAGGAAAGTAAGAGCAGCTTACTCTTCCTCCTTGGTGTTGAAACAGACATTAAAGTCCCATAGGAAGTAGGGAGGAGGGTATTTAGAAAGGAAAATAAGCACACTACCCAAGCAATCTCTATGTCACTAAAATATCATAAAGGTACTAATATGTACCATTGTATAAAATGTTTCTTCGCCCTGAACTTTAATATTCAGACTTTGGGCAACCAACGAAAAAAGAAATGGGGAAGCATGAATCTAAAGCCTGGAAAGATCAACCTTCTGAATGTTGTAAGTTTAGCTTTAAGAATGGATGCAACATGATTAGGGGTTTTCAAGGGAAACTTGGGCTTCCTTAGAAGTCTATCAAACAATTCTCCATGCATGGAGACAAACATCCACTAGCAACCTCCTCTTTTCTTGCCTGATCTCCATTATGTTTCCCACATTTGTCCCTAGCCCATTAGAAGGTGACCCAAGCCATCCTTAGCTGTTCTAATGTTCTAACAGTGCTAGTTTACCTCTTATTCTAACATGGTCCAATGGTAACTTCAACACATATAAAATAGGTTAGTTTTGTTTTACCCCATACATTTGGGGGGAGGGGGGGAATCAGATGATTGGCAGTCCTTGGAAACAAAACAGAAAGGAGAGACAGCAGTGATAGGAACAGAAAAATTGAAACATTAGGTTTTGCTGATTCAGATTTGAGTGGATAGCAAATAATTCTGGGGAAAGATCCTAAAACCCAAAGCCATCTGGCCCAAAATTGACATACTTTTCTTACAGTGCACTGGATCTTTTCTGACATTCATTATCAGGCTGAAATATCTGTAACAGCAAAAATCCACAAAGTCCTAACCTGAAGGGGGGAGGTGATTTTTATCAGTAGTACTGAAATAGTTTTTAACCATGCTGAAAGGGGGAAGTATTCCATTAAGGAAAATTAGAAGGTGCAAAGGCAGGGAACCTTCCATGCCTGTAACTGCTATATCAATCCACATTTTAACAGCCAGAAGACCGTCTGCAGATCCTTTTGCATCTGATTTGGTTCGTATCTCTCACTGAATGATCATATCAGACCAACAGACTTATATCAATGTGAACTGAAAAATAAATTTCAGAATCTTCTGAAACTACACACAAATTTTGCTACCCGTGACAAATAAGTAGATCAAATGTGAGCTATACCAAATCACTACATAATATTGCAAGATTAAGATTCTTGATAAGATTTGAGATTTTTCTGAAAAACGGAAACAATATTTTCTAGGTCCTGGGTAGCTGAACCAAAGTGGACTACAGGTCATTTATTTCCATATGTAATATATAACTCCCACTTTGGTAATGTGATATCTAATTTTATTTTGTCTTATCTATTATTCATTGTACATGGTACCAGAAAAGTCCATTTGATATTGATGATGGATATGTCTAACCATCAAGTACATTAGGCTTCAGTACACTATTTCTATGTCTGCTTTGGGACCACATATAACTCTGGCCTTTCAAATAGTAACTGGCAATATGCTTAAGCTGCCTGCTAATTCTAAAATGTAAATATCTAGACTGTTTAGATAGCAACATACATTTTCAGTTCTGAATCTGTTTACATGAGAAACTGCTCACTTTCAGTATTTTAAAGTGTAGATGGTCCAATAAACAGGATCAGTTCATTCATGTATTTTATAAAAAATGCAGAATTAAAGCACTCAAAACATGCAATGATGCACGATCCAAGTCTCCAAGGTTGCATTCAGCCCTTTTAAAAGCCTTGGATACAGCCCACTGAGACTTTCAAAAGCTATCGTGTAAACTGAAGTGGTAAATTATGATAGAAATGCCTGAAGAAAAGTAGTTTCTACATTTAATTTTAATCAAATGGCACAAAAATCAAATCTAATTTCCTTTTTTCCTATTTCTGGAAGTGCAGGCATTCCGAGACCAAAGGCAAACTTCATCCTGAAAAAAAAAAAAAAAACAAGAATCCTGATCTAAGGACAACAGAGTTACAAATAAACTACAGACTACACAGTTCAATATTCATAACCTGCTGAAGCTAGAACTGTAAAAGTTAATGATTAACTCTTCTTTGTGTATATCACAAAGCTAACGTACAAGCTGGCATGTTTTGCTTCAGAAGTGAAATGGCAAATGCTACCACATGGAGCTGAAACAAGCTGATAAAGATTTCTGCAGAACTTCTACAGTTCACGCCATCCCTCTCACCGCTGTTGAACCTAATGTGATTGCTATCTCTTCATCATAAGCACTAAATTTGCTGCTAATGTGTTGAAAAATTGTTGCAGCTCTGGCTTCAATTTACAGTTTGCCAAGATCATCTGCTCTGGAAAAAGAAACAAGGCCCAGCCAAAGACAGCATGAAATATTTGTAAACTGAACCTGTTATTAGACTCTTGGGACATTCTTATTACAAAGAGAAAAAAATAAGCAATAATACAGCATTTATATTATGCCAACAGTTATCAGTTCATTGAGAGGGGTTTTTAGTTCATTTTTATTAATTTTATATATAATGTATTCTTCTTAATGTATTTTCATTATTCTTTCTTTCATTTTTTATTAAATGGACTAATAAAATAAAAAAATGTAAAAAAGAAATTTATTTATTCATTTATAAATAAACTACAGACTATATTGTCGCTTATACGCCCATGACAACTCGAGGCGGCTTACAGAATGTAAAACCATATTTAAAACAAAAAAACAATAAAAGCAAACAAAAAGAATCAAATAAATTAATAAAGTAAAATAAAACAAAATCTGGGAAAAAAATAAATAATCACCCCCAATTCCCACCTCCCCACCCCAACGACAACAGATCACACAAGCCATTTGATGGGCTCCATCCCACTCTGAGTTCCCCAGGCCCGCTAGCAGAACCAGGTCTTCAATGCCTTCCAGAAGAGTGCTAGAGAGGGGGCCATTCTAATCTCTGGGGGAATGATGTTCCAGAGAGAGGGAGCCACCACGAAGAAGGTCCTTCTTCTGGGTCCCACCAGGTGTACCTCCCTCAGGGATGGGACCCGCAACATTCTCTGCTTCCCTGATCTAATGGGTGAGGTAGATGTGACCAGCAAGAGACGTTCCCTCAGATAACCTGCTCCCAAGCCATGAAGGGCTTTAAAGGTGACAACCAGCAGCTGAATTGCACCCTGAAGCAAATCGGTAACTAATGCAGCTCTCTCAGGAGAGGTGAAACATCTGCACAAAACCATGCAGGCCACTGTATTTTGCACCAACTGGTGCTTCCAGATGTTCTTCAAGGGCAGCCCCATGTAGAGCACATTGCAATAATCAAGAGAGGAAATGACTAGGGCAAGAGTGATTGTGAGGAGGGACCGTTGGTCCAGGAAAGAACATAACTGGTGCACACAATTTTGGAATCATCCCCCCCACCCCCCCAAAAAAAAGAAGCAATACAATGGCAAAGTATTGAGAATTTTCACAATGAACATTCTTAAAGATTTTTGTATCCGGCTGAATTTGTGGATTTATGACAATATCCCTCAGTAAATATTAACTCCAGCTAATCTTAACAAAAAATCATTAATATATTTAAAATTAACTACTTCAATGAACACTTAACATAATAAATATTAATTCCTCCATACATATTCATCCCAAGTTTGCCCTGCTCTTTATTTTTAATCTTTCCTGTGCGAAGGTACTGACCCACGTTTTCTGCTTTTCTCAAAGTTCCACTAAGTGGAGAAATATTCTAAATAGACAGGAACAAAAAAACAAACCTAGCCAAAGAAGCTCAGCCTACAATAATACCTGCCAAATGTGTTATATATGCATACGTCAGACAGATAAAGTATGAAATATTAGTAAAAGTAAACAAATATATGATACGTGCATATGGCATTTACACACCCAAGTTTTGAAAAAGAATAGATACAGGTTTAAAAATACCAGCTGGGTTTAGAAATTCCTTCACTCTATTGTGGGCACCAGTGTGAACTCATGAATTTTGAAACCCCTGACCTATGTTTCTAAAAAGTACAGACAAAACTTATTTGGGCAGTTGAATATTTGCATTGAATGAACACATGCTCAGAGGCTTTGTTCTCTTTTAAAAATCCAAATCCCATTATCTCTGCACCCCTAAGTCATTGCTCAAGTTTAAATCCATTGTTTTCCTATTTAGGGCCTCATATCACAATATGATTCTTTTGGCTTGGCATATATAAATACAGAGTAACAACATTGAGCCTCCTTATTCAACTTTGATTTTAAATTTTTATTTTTCATTGGCTTCCAAGGAAATGTTCCCAGATTGCACCGAGCAACACTAATTCCCTCTACAATTTGCCACCAGGCTGACTTTTTATATGCTTGCATACATTTAGATAGCAGAAGAGCTGCCAACACAAGCTTCGATTCGGTAGTATAACAGCTATTTACAGGTACAATTTTCTTAGTATCAAACGGAGTTTAGTGACACTACTTCTCATACTTGTAAATATATTACAAGATACAGTATAAAGGTAAAAATGTGAGCCTTCTCCTTCCTCAGCCCCAAAATTGCCTAGCCCACTACCCCCATGCCCAAACCAAAAAAAACAAACAAACCTTGATGGGCCATCCAATATCCGTAAGAATATAAAAAAATTTTTTTAGGAAAGTACTTACTGGAACTGCAATAGCACCACTGAAGACTGTCTTTAGGAAGATGATCTAGAACAGAAAGAGGTAATATATAGCTCTTAGACTAATTTCACATGATTCTTGGTCTGGTTCCAAGTGCTTTGGCCTCTTCAAAAAGTTTTTTTTTAAACCTTTGTCTATTGCATAGGCAATAGACAGAAAGAGTCAAACTAAATTCATACACAACATATGCAACTAAAAAGAAGTTCATTTGTTTTTGATTTTGCATACTGTGGAAGCCCAACTATTGAGGTTTATAGTTTAGGATGATGTATAATCCCTTATGCCTGTGATTTTTCAAGAAATCTGGCTCAAAAACAAAAATATGAGATCCCATCCTCTTTGGGATCAAAGCTTGTCTTTGTCTAATGATTTACAAGATTATCTGGTGTTACCATAGATAGCAAAATATCTTGGATCTATACTTTAAAGCAGGGGTCCCCAAGCACCGGGCCCCGGACCAGTACCGGTCCGTGGATCATTTTGTACTGGGCCGCAAAGAATGAATAATCATGATTAAAATATATATAAAAATATGTTTTTGCTTCCGGGTGTTTTATTTTGAAAGACAACCACTTCCGCCCTCGCCTAACTTACATGCTTGACTCTTTGGCGCATATTTATCCTGCATCAGCAATGCAAGCTAGCCCTCGCAAAATGAGCCAGAAACAGAGTCCACACCCACTCTGTGTAATATGCGGTGACAGACTTGCTAATGAAGCCATGAAACCATCAAAACTGCGCCTCCACATGGAGACAAAACACCCAGCATTGATTAAGTTTTTTGTTATTGGAACCTTCACGCCCCTACCCGGTCCTTGAAAAAGTGTTTCTGCGTGAAACTGGTCCCTGGTACAAAAAAGGCTGGGGACCACTGCTTTAAAGGGTCCAATTAAATTGAACTTTATCATTCTAGAACTCTGCAAATGTATTCTGTCAACACCAGTCCTAGCACTGATGATGTTACCTAGTTTGGGTAATGAAACATGAGCAAAACAAACAAGCTCAGAGACCACCAAGGACTCCCCATCAGTCCTAGTGGGTTTATATAGTAATGAACAACAAACTGTGTAATTTAATAGGAAAGGGAGGTAATGAGAAAACAATTTAACATTTATGATCTTCACTGTTATCATTGTTATCTCTATCTGTGATTGAAAAAAAGGGATATAGTCTCACAAACCTGGCCAAAAGTATTCATGTTTACATAGACATCATCCTTAAGATATTATTTTGTTATTAACTTATTGTTATAAATCCAAGCTTATCAACACAAATAGAAATTAACCTTTCCCTGCTGTACCCTCTCTTATCAAACTCAAATGTAAGAAGATGCATGTGAAACAAAACTTTAGAGTTCTTAAGAGAAAAAAAGCAAATTCTGTAAAAGATCTTGGAATACTCATCTCTAATGATCTAAGTGCCAGAGCCCACTGTAACTACATAGCTAAGAAGGCATTAAGAGTTATTAACCTAATCCTACGTAGCTTTTTCTCTGGTAATATCACACTACTAACTAGAGCATACAAAACATTTGCTAGACCAATACTCGAATACAGCTCATCAGTCTGGAACCCACATTACGTATCTGATATTTGCACAGTTGAGAAAGTCCATAAATATTTCACAAGAAGAGTTCTCCACTCCTCTACTCGTTGTAGAATACCTTATGCCACCAGACTTGAAATTCTAGACCTAGAAAACCTTGAATTACGCCGTCTTCGGTCTGATCTAATTATGGTATGTAAAATCATACATTGCAATGTCCCACCTGTCAATGAATACTTCAGCTTCAACCATAACAACACAAGAGCACACAATAGATACAAACTCAAGGTTAACCGCACCAAACTTGATTGAAGGAAATACGACTTCAGCAACAGAGTGGTCAATGTCTGGAATACTCTACCTACTCTGTAGTTTCTTCCCCAAACCCCAAAAACTTTAATCTTAGACTGTCTACTATTGACCTCACCCCTTTCCTAAGAGGTCTGTAGGGGGCGTGCATAAGCGCACCAACGTGCCTACCGTCCCTGTCCTATTGTTTCTTTTATTTTTCTTATATGTACCCATTTCATGTATTCATAACTATGTATATACTTATACTTATTATCTTGTAAGCAATTGACAAATAAAATAAATAAAATAAAAGTCAATTGGATAATTCCTATCTATAGCCTAATCTTGGTTTACAGATGTTTGGGAACTACGCCTTTTGTGATTGATCCCCGTTCAGTGTATTCAAGAGATGTTTGCACATCTGAAGCATCCAAGGCTGGAAGCCTTTGCCAGTCGTCTTGAACTTGGAAAGCCTTATTGCAGTCTTGTCTCAAATCAGGCTGAAAGCACGTAGTAAATGGGTAATATATTCCATGAATTATATCAGTATTTTTCAAAGTTGGTAACTTTAAGATCTCTGGATTTCAACTCCCCGAATTCCCTTGCAAGCAAGTTTGGTTGGGGAATTCTGGAAATTGAAGTCTACACATCTTAAAGTTGCTACATTTGAAAAACACTGCGTTGTATTTTCCCAATTTCAATCACTTCTTGCCATATAGCGCTAATTTTGCCACTAGATATTATCGGGATTACTTTTCCCCTCCATCAGTGGACGCAAAACAGGGACTATCTTATGCCTGGCTAGCGATTTCTAAAAACACAGCAAAATTTCCCAAAGCAATCCCTCTAATTAAGCGATATGAAAAACAGCGTCCTAACAATCAGAGGGATGGCAGAAGGAATAACTTTAAAAAAAAGTATTTCTTTTCCCTTTGTGGGAGACTTGAGGCTGAACGATTGCTTGCAAAGATTTAAATCAGTGGAGAAGAGTTTACGCTCCCCCTTGCCCGTTCTTCCTCTTTCCACCCCATTGCCCAAGCGATATTGCCCAAAATCAATATGGCGGTTCTATTGCTCTCTAGACAACGCCCCCGCCGAAGAAAATACGTATGCCCTGAGACCCTGTTTAGATGGGCAGCAAGTTCCAACCAATAACGACCTAAGAGCTTCTTCCCCTACCAATCAGAGAGGAAGTACGAAGTTTGACTAACGGAATGGTCCGCCCCCTCTCCTCCTCGAAAGTGAGCTGTGATTATGATGGCGGTTCTTTCGGTCTTGTCAGGCTAAAGCGAGAGCGATTTATTCTCCGTCCCTTCCCGTCCCCCACAGCCGCCACGCTCCCAATCGTAGCGGTTACTGCCTCGGTACCTTCTGAATCAAGCGCCGCCTCCGCTTCTCATCGGTGGCGGACAGACGCCTCCCTCGTTAGGCGGAAACGACCCGCCTCTCTTGGCTGCCCGCGGGAGGCAAAGGCAGCTCTAGGAAGCGCCGCTGACTGGGGAAGGGCGATAGCCGCTCTCCTCCTTCTCAGCTGCTGCCCCGGCTGCTGAGATCTTTTTCCGAGGTTTCCTATTGTCCGACCTGCAGATGTGTTTGATCCTCCTGTATAGCCAGCCTATCAACTGGTGGGATGGGAATTATAGTATGGGTAGCCCTCGATTTACAATAGTACATTTAGTGACCGCTCAAAGTTACAACGGCACTAAAAAAAAAAGTGACCTGACCATTTTTCGCACTTAACCCCATTGCAGCATTCCCATGGTGACATGGCAACTGGCTCACACTTATGTCCTGGCATCACGTGATCCCCTTTTGGGTCCTTCTGACAAGCAATGTCAATGGGGATCCAGATTCACTTAACAACCACGTTACTAATAAAACAATCGCAATGATTCACTTAACAAATGTGGCAACGAAAGTCGTAACATGGAGCAAAGCTCACTTTATAAGTGTTTCACTTAGCAACATAAATGGGCTTAATTGTGGTTGCAACTTGAGGACTACCTCTATCTGGTTCTGGAGAAGTAGGGTGTTGGACAGAGTTATGACTTGGGAATCATGAGAAAAGGTTTTTGTGTAGTGTGTAGTGTACCCGGATAGAAATCAGCAGACTCTGTGTTCATGTTATGGCTTAGGCTCAAAACCAGCTGGTGACCTTGGGCCAGTCACTTTCTCTCAGCCCTAAGAAGTAGGCAATAGTGGCAATACCCTATTTGTTGCCAAGAAAATGAGAAGTGCATCCATGAAGTCAGCAGAAGTTGAGCTTGAGCTTGTGGCAGGGTGGTATAGTGAGGGTGTCGTACTCCCAGTTCAAGAAAACATTTAGATAGGCATACTTAGATAAGTGTGTCTATTTCAAGCTCTTGGCTCAACTTTCTTCACAAAGGAAAGTGTTTTGTAAGATGTTGAAGACTCTTGATAGGAGCAATTGTGAAATGCGTTACTTGTGTAGTAACAGAAAAGCTTTTGATACAGGCAGTTGCAGAGATTCCAGCAGCTGCTGTAGTAGCAGTCACAGCAGTAGTAAAGCTAAATCCATACATGTATTGACAGCGGCTAGAATATATGCACAATATTGGAAAAACGAAATCATACCTTCAGAAACAGAAATAATATGGCATGGAAAAATTATGGCATGTGCAGAATCAGATAGATTAACTTTAGAAATAAAAGACATAGGAGAGTAAATATAAAACATGGAATAAATTTTATCGATTGTTATATAATAGAAGACAAGGTTGAAATATTAGTTATGATTAGACTAATTAGTAATTAATATATTAAATAAGGAGATTATAAATGATGAAGTAAAATGTATATATGTATAACAAGGATAAGTTGGATGTATTGTGTTGTATTCTCATAATTAAAATTAAAAATAAATTTAAAAAAGAAAAACTAAATCCATTTTCTATTACCATGCAAATATCAGCCTAAGTCTCTGTGGCTATAGTCTTCAGGGACAGTGAGCAGATTTTCACAACCATTTTGGGACTGTGTTCCCAAGTACCCCTTCATTTCCTGTCATATATATAAATATTTAAAAAACCTTTGCCCTTGGAGACATTGTTATCCCAAACACAACAATCTGCTTTGCATTCAGAGCTACCCCAAACATTCTTCAAGCCTATTTTTGCCTTTCAGCTGGGAAAATAGAAAATACAATAAATAAATATAA